AACCTGTTTTTCTCTGTCCTGTATATCTTGTACTTTAAAGGGTCATACTTCATGTTTTTCTTTCTTATCTCTTCTTCCATGAGCTGAAAAGGCTGTTATCAAAGACCAGAGAGATGCCACCTGCCATGAACTCTGTATTTGCAATATGAGAAACAGACAGTTTCTATGGTCCAAATATATATATATGTCCCATAATAGCAGGATATTTTTCACCCTTGCAAGCTTACAACTGATGTTTTGGATTAATAATTGCATAAGATTTTGTTTGTTTACCCATAATCATCATTGTATCTCCAGGTCTGATATCTGATTTAGTGAAGAGTATCAGAAAAAAATCATACTGTTTCTGTCTGCAGTTAGGTGTGTACAGCCAAATCTCTGTCAACTTGAAGGTAAGCCCTAGAGTTAAAACTAATAGTTTGGATCCAGATTCAGTTAGCTGAACTTTGCTCCTGCTGAAATTGATAGACTCCCCATTGATTTCAAGAGCCATTAAGCTTAATACATTTTGGAGTCAACGTACCCTTTTTTCCGTCTTCGGATGAAGTAATTTTCAGTAAGACTTGATCAAGATAAGGGTGGTTCCACACCCTTACATTTTGTGTATAGGTCATCAAAATTTTGGTGAGAATGTGAACATATGGAAAATCAGTCAGATTAGTGCCTTCTTGCTCACTGGATGCCCGCTGTAATGCCCTACTTGCTGTACATGCCATCTGTTATAGAGCCTGAGTCCTGTGCTGAGTAAAGAGTTGTACCACTGGAGATTAAACAAGTAAAGATGGAAGAAAGCAGCAGTAACTGTAAGGCAGCCAGGGATGAATGATGTGCTATTTTAAAATTGCTAATTTATTTAGCATTCAGACTTCATGGAGGAACCTTTTGTCATATCATCCATCACAGAATGGCACTAGAGAGATGGGGTTTAGAAAAATTAAAAACCTGTTTGTTACTGTAAACCAAAGAGCATGAACAACATCCATCAAACACCGACAGAGGTAGAAGACAAACAAGAGTTGGTTAGAACCAATTGATGTGCTCTGATTTTTTTTTTCTAAATTCCGATTTATTAAAACGCTTCAGATAGAGATTAACTATCTGTACTACAGTATTTATCTGTCCCCTCCCATCTGCATGGCTGCACATAAAAAATGCAAATGCTGAAAAGAAAGTCTACTTCCTATGTAGTTTTACAGCTTGGGTTAGCACCTGATTTTTAGAAGACACACCATTAATACTGGTCTTTCCCCAACCTTCCCCCCCCACTCCAGTTCGTTACAGAACATGACCAGGAAACTTTCCACAGTAATGGTAGAGATCATTTGCTTGGTAGCATCAAATGGAGAGGGAAAAGGATTTATTTAAAAATAAAACAATTGACCCTGTGTCTCAGAAATGACTGTGTTTTGGAAACTATATTTTAGACAGTGGGAAAATATTAGGCATAACTTTATTGGTTACAGCTGACATGAACTTTTGTTGCCCCACAGGGTCGGGATCCCAATTCTCTGCATAGCTTGTTTTCTTGACAGCTGCTTAGCCCAGCTGAGGAACCAACGTAAATGACAGACTAGAGGTATTTTCTCTGTACCAGCAGATGACAGTTGTCCCTATCATTGTTAGAGAAGGGGAGAGACCAAGATGAGTTCCTGATCAGGGCTGGGCCTTGAGGCCAATTCCCACCTTGTTCCTTATGGAGATTCTTAGGGTTACAGGTTGTCACCCACCTACTTGTCACAATTATGCATCCAGCCAGTACCGCAAAAGTTGCCCCTAAAAATTGTGATGAAAAGTTATTTCTATAAAAAGGTGATGCATTAACAGAAGTTTTTCAAGGAACAGGTGGATAGCAGAGGTGGCATCTTGCTGAAAGGAGAGATTCAAAAGTCCTCTGTTTAATTTGTTGGAGGGGTAAAACAGAATGAATCCAGCAAGTCTCAGATCTAGCAGTTTCAAGTCCTGCTCCCCCAGTGAGCTAATTGGTTCTCTGGACCTCTCCCTTTTGGAACATTTGCAGCAATTCCCTTTCTGCTACATGCCAGCAATTATGAAGACAAGATGCAACTCATGTTTGCCACTGAATTGGGCAAATGAAGGCTTCAAGTCAGGCTTGGACGTGGGGGGAGGTCACATTTTGCTTTATTTCATCCTACTATTTATAGAAGATTATTTGTTAATCCTTGAATAAAGATGATGATGATGATGATGATGATGATGATGATGATGATGATGAT